TCGTATCGCGGCCCATTAGAATCGTTTCTCGGCCATTCTAGCCGGTTCTTAACACCGTTTATTATTTATTGTTCCACAAAAGTGGCTCGAATTATTCGTTCGGCGCTGCTCGGATTGCGCCGCACCACGCGCATGTAAGCGTATCACCGTAAACCAGATTCAAGATCAGGTTCAACAAGTTTGCTGGTAACATCAAAGTGGTATATAAATCTTGCTGCTTTCCACTTACTTTCTTGGGGGCATTTGCAAAGATTCCCGCGACACGCATTCACCGACGCGCCGGTCGAAAGCGAATCGCCGGTTACAGCGTAGAACCGATCTCGAATCGATCCTTTCGCCGACATTTTCTCGCGGCGACGCGACGGAGACACGGTTTTCGAAAAATTGCGGTTCTCCTGTGCCAGCCGATTCCGAGCGAACGATTTCGCTCGATTTCGCTCGATTTCGCTCGCGCCGCGAATTCGATCAGTGGAATTGAAATGCCACGATCGATCCTTGATTCGAAAGAGGGGAAAAAAAGAAAGCGGACACTGCCGCACCCTGATCGAGCGGTCCCAAGAGCGAGGCGCGCTGAGCTACTCGCGTTCTTCCAGGCTTATCGATCCCGAACCGAGTTACCGGCGGGAACAACGGTTCGATATCTAAGGAAAAACAATTTTCTGTGAAAGAACATTTCTATAACCCGGTAGAAGTCGACAAAGGTGGAATCCCTCGGCGTATTCCAGACGGCCGAGACGCTCGCGCCGCTCGAGACGCTGGAGACCGGTCCGTTCTCGGTTCGATCGAACGGTCAACCTCTCTTTCTGCCCCACCCCCGTCTCTCATTCTCTCTCATTCCCTCCGATTCTCTCTCGTGCTCTCCATCTCTCCCACCCTTCTTCTTCTTTCTCTCTTTCGTTCTCTATGCACACGTACCGATGAACAACCCGGCAAAAAGTCGCTTTAAAAGGGCAATTGACCGTGAAAGGGTGGCAAAAAGTGTGCCACGAATACGGGGCACGCAGCATTGTCTCGACGAAGGTCGACACGACGATTCGACGCGGAAGGATCCCGCGTTCTTTGCCTTCGTTGCGCGATTTCGTCTCGCTTCGGTCTCGTTAGGTTCGCGCGAACCCGTGGAAGCGACAACTGGCAAACGGAAAACCCGACGACGCGCTGTTGGAAGTTCGATCGATCTTTTAGGAGAACGACGAGCGATTTCGCGCTCGACCGATCGCGTGAATCGGGTAAATCGCGTGCTCCGCCTCTCGAGCCGGTAGTTTCTTTTGAATCGCTCTGTACGACGACGCGCTGCACGCTGGCATTGAGCTGTAGTCGTAGTAGAATAGAGCAACTAACCAACTAACCACGAGACGTCAGTAGGACAGTGAAAGGCGACCTAGACCAAGTCTCTCCGCCGTAACGCTGCTGGAACTTGACGAACGCCGCTGTTTTCGTGTCGTGTGCGAGTGTACGTGCACATGTACTTGTATAAATACATACATACACGTATACATACACGGGTAAACGGTTTGGCCGTGTTCAGTCGTTCGCGCATCGCGCATGGCGGATCTTCTCGCGTCCCGATACCAACGAGATTGGGTCGAATCGCAACGATCAGAGCCCATCGTTCCACTTGGAGCAAACGGTCGACCGATTCGAGAAATTAGATCGGTACCGTTCGACGGAAGGAAACGGGAGGCATTTCGTTTTCGAGATCCTAGTCGGTGCGCGGCGAGTAACGATCGACGTCGCGATCGGCTATCGATGAAAAAGGAAAATGGCTGAAACGAGAAGGACGAGCTTTACCTCGGAGAGGTACGCACGTGGGTTCTCTCCGCAACAACTGTTACGAGATCCATTCGAGTCCCCATTCAAGCCTACGGCAACATACCACGACAATTTATTACCGGAAATTTCTTTTCTCGTTGCATCATAGCTGGTTCCACGCCGGTCTACGAGATCCTGAACGAAATCATAATGCGCGCGGAATTCCTAATTGGTTGCGCGAGAAATCGCGTCGATCTTACAAGTATTTCTTAAGGTTGTAACATCGTTGTAACACCATTCCGCGTCGTTACCCGTTACACGTTGCCCGTTACCCATTCCCTCGTTACCGATGGAGGAGCTCGTCGAAGCGTGCGATTTTTGCGAGCTGAACGCGTTTCCAACGTGGAAGGAATGCCATCTCCTCGCGGCGCCGAATCGCATCATCGGCCAACGGCCGTTCGGAAGTTCCGAGCTTGCATCTCGCGACCTTCGCCACTCGAATTTTACCCGGAGAATTCTTCCGATGAATATTCACGCTCCGATCTCTCGGAAAATATTTGAACGGCGATACTATTTGAACGTCGATTTCGAGACGTGATTCATCGACGCGGCACGCGCGACGAGCCGTGGAATCTCGTGGAATCTCGTCGAATCGAGGACCGACTTCGCGAGGATTTTCACTTTGGCACCCGTGTAGTCCGAGAAGGATTTACGATCGGTAAAAAGCCGATCGCGGGGCAAACTGCGACGAGACCGGACGAACGGGGACGAACGGGACGGGACGAGACGAGACGTTTCGACATCGATACCGTGCTCGACAGAGCACGACGCTCTTCTCCCCGGGCCCTTTCGATTTCATTCCGATCGCAGCCTCGATACGTGTGGTGTGTGTCGACATTGCCCTCCTTAACCGGCGAAAGTTCTCAGCTAATTGAACTTCTTAATCTCCGATTCCGTTCTCACCGGAGATTGCCGCTGGGAATTTCGTTGTTGCGAGGGCCGACGTTGCCGGCTACGACTATGGATCGTCTATTATTCGAATGATACACATGCGGTTCATTCAAAATCGGCCAACATTACCCGAGAACGATTTTCCTGAAACTTTGCTTGTTGCTAGCCCTTTGGATTTGACATTGATTCTGTGCAAACACTTTTTCCGTGGACTTCAAGGTTACGATGATGGGGTTAAAGTACATATTTCGGGAAATTGATTACGTGTTGTAGCTTCTGATCGGAAAGCTCGAATTTATTACGATTTTTTTCACCATTGGAAAGCTCGAATTTATTACCATGTTTTTGTATCGGTTTCAAGTGGATATCTTGTTTGTACCAAAAATTACAACGCATCACAGATTTCGCAAAATCCGTACTTTAACCTTCTCCCCTCGTAACCTTGAAGTCCGGGGAAGAAGTTTTCGCACCGAATCAATGTGAGAACCAAACGGCTACCAGTATGCAAAGTTGCAGGAAAATCGTTCTCGGGTAATTTTGTCCGGCTTTGAATCAACGCGTTTATTCCTCCCGGAGGAAACGACGGAGTGTATCGCCGTAAATCGTTGAAAACAACGTCTACGGTCAATTTTTTCTCTCGACGGGAGACTCCGAATTAATTCGCTTGGCCGTGTACAGGGTATTCGAGCGTGTGCGCGCGTATCGATTCGAAGGAGGTCGTTTCGTAGACGCGCACGGAATACACGCGACGTACGAGTCGCGCGATGTTAATCATTTACGGGTCAATGGCGTACCCGAAACGACGCTCCACCGTAAACACGTTCGCGTTCTCGGACGGTGTCGTTTCACGGGTCGACAAATGCGGACGATCGATTAACGTCGGCGCGACGTCCGGAGAACAAATTTTTCTCACGGTATCCTTTGCTGAATTTCGTTACGCCGCGTTGTCCGTCGTGACGGATTCGAAAAGAAACAGGCAGAAACTCGAATGCACGTTCTCCAGAACGACGAAGCGATAGTGGAAGTACAAATCTCACGTTCGTAGACTTTCCGGTCACCCGTTACGTGCCAGCGGCGCGCGGAGGCGCGTTCTAGTCCGCAGACTCCTACTCGCTGTCAGTGAAAACCGCATCGGTAGGATAGCCGGTGTGCAATGGAACGCGAGGGAAATGAGGAAAGTCGGGCACCGATGAAAGTGAGAGGATGCCAGCTACAGGCTGTTTCAGTCGAACCGTTTCCTTTCTGTCGATCATGCGGGGAGAAAGGCGATACCGATCGACCGTGATCGATTCGCTTTCCGGTCCTCGTTTCTGTTCATTTCTATCTGCACCTATTGTTCTGTTTACGGGTTTAGAATTTCAGTGAACGCTCGTGCTTTTTGGGAAACTGTACGGAACCCGTTCTCGTGCAACAGGGGTCGTGGAACAAAGCCAATCGCGATTTCGGGGAAACGCGGCAGACGACTCGGGAGACCGTCGTTATAAATAATGTCGTGACGCACGTACGTTGAACACTTAAAAACGCGAAACGCGTCTCGAGAGCGGTCCTTTGCGAGAAGCCGCGACAGCGATTTCGCCGATTCCTTTCGAGACCCGAACGAACGTTTCTCCGTGGTGTAATCCGCGAATCGGTCCTCGAACGATTCAATAGTGAACGATTGTTTTTTGATCGATTCCAGGTTAAACGCTCGAAGACGAACCGCTTGAACGGCGGCCATTGGGGCTCTCCTACGAGGAAGAATCCCGATTAGAAGGTGCAACGGGTCGAGTGGGTCGGGAAGAACGCTCAAGAAGGAGCGATCGAGGGGGTGGGGTTGGGTGAGCGGGAGCGTTGCTTCGAATCTCTCGGAGGGATCATGGCGGGCGAGGACACGCAGATCCTGGCAAACGGAAACGTCGAGGC